TCTCTGGCGCTGTTGTTTCCACATGGTCATATTTTCCAATTATCAAGGCTAGCCTACGTAGAATTAACACCTGTGAAATGAGATGCCTGAGAAAAGCAGCCAACTTACGTATAATTAACACCTGTGAAATGAGATGCCTGAGAAAGCCACCAACTTAACTATCCGAGAAGTTGGAAATGATATTATCAGACAGATTGTGGGAACAAAACCATGCAGCGAATTCACAGATAAACAAAAGATGAAATGGTGTAGTCAACTAGTGAAAATGTAGCCAGAATAATTACCAACGCAAGCGCTACACGTGAAAAGATATGATGTCAAAGCAAGAGATGTCTCTAGGAGATTATGGACTGATGACATTAAAGAGTTAGAATACCTTGGACGGCTACAGTAACTAACAACGATTGCTTGAAAGAAGCTAATGAAAGTAGATCTCTAAATAGAACAATAAGAAAGAGACAAACACTGTTCTTTGGCCACATAATGAGAAGAGAAACATTAGAGAACATCGTGACAACTGGAAAGATCAGTGGAAAAGGGGGTAGAGGCAGACCAAGAGAGATGATGCTGGATGGGTTGAAACGATGGCATAGAGGGATATCATGGAGAGAGCTGTTCCAGGTAATCAGGGATCGCGATCTGTGCTGACGCATGAGCATCAACGCCAGTTGGCAGGGCACATGATGACGATGATGACATTAAAGAGCTTCTACATCGACATGGAAGGACAACAGCCATTGCTGCCCATCAAGCAGTTAATCGCCAATTGATTCTCCCTCCCACGCTGCTAAACGACAGAAGTGAGAATAGACGATGATGATGATGAGTAAAACCTACTGGTCTTCACATGATGGGCTTGTACATGTAATTGTGTCAGTTTCTGGTCTGGGAATGCTTGCACAGAAGTAGTCGTCTGCTATTTCAAAGAACTCAACTCCGCTGGTTACAGTGATCTGCTCACACTCCAAGATGGCTTCTTGTGTTCCTGTTTCCCCGCACGGCGCGCTGCATGGCTTGTGGAGACCGCTGTCTGTCCACTGGAACCTGATCACGGAGCAAGAGCAATTTCAAAGATTAGTATACAGATCAGCTGTATTTATAAATGTGTAAAAAACATTTGTGTTGTGCATCATTATATTTAAATTTTGATGTAAAGTCTAGCCGATGTAATCTACCTGAGGAGACACGGCGAAATATCAATCTAGCCAACGTAATCTATCTGACGAAACAAGGCTAATTTTCAATCTAGTCGACGTAATCTACCTGACAAGACATGGCGAAATATCAATCTAGCCGACGTAATATACTTGACGAGACACGGCGAAATACCAATCTCACACAGCAGGTCCTTTGCCGAACGTCGCTCTCCTCACGGCACGCCAAAAAGTCACCATTTCTCTAGCCAATTCTTTAGCCATATGCGCTTTCATAGCCATTGCATCTTCACTGTCTTGTATCCACATTTGCGGAGGTTCTGTCTCTGTTTTCTGGAAAGTTTATCTTCCATCAGCGTTCTCTCCGGGCCACCCCGCCCTTTAGCACGGCTAAAATATCATAGCTTTCCGGACAGGATGCTGTTTATGAGCCATTTTTCTTCGATGCTCAGATCATGTAGGATGTCGGTGTTTCTTTTCTTCTTGGTCTTAGCCATTCTGAGAATGTTCACGAGTATACCAGAAATTAAACTTAATTAATTGTTTGCATCGTCAATATGTAAATCCACAACGGGGGAAAAAACTGATTTATATTTTAAAAAAGACAAGTAAAAAGGTCAATCAATGATAAAGGGTTTGGTTATTAGGAGACTGGGTCAGGGTATTATCCAGTCCCGTGTGGTGGATCTTTTCAGAATGATGCAAGTCTTCGAAAAGCCGCCAATAGCTCCGCGCTATCAGATCAAATGTCCGAACTGCATTTTGATTTCGCTGCTTATTTCATGTTTCACCAAACGGAGCTGTGCGGCAGGACTAGGGTTCAAACAGACCAAGAACTATGTTCATCTCTCTGCAGTCATCCTTGAACAGATACCTCACCAGGAGCTTGGCTAAAGTAGGTCAGTCGGGGCCCAGCTATCTCAGAGACGAAGAACAACGTCTACATACAACAAGCCAGATTTTTGATGCGGATGTGCAATGGACGAACAATCAGGACTTTCCGGTGGAGTTTACAGCCTGCGAACGCAGCAGAAGAAGAAGAAGAAGAAGAAGAAGAAGAAGAAGCAGAAGAAGAAGAAGAAGAAGAAGAAGAAGAAGAAGAAGAAGAAGAAGAAGAAGAAGAAGAAGAAGAAGAAGAGAAGAAGAAGAAGAAGAAGAAGAAGAAGAAGAAGAAGAAGAAGAAGAAGAAGAAGAAGAAGAAGAAGAAGAAGAAGAAGAAGAAGAAGAAGAAGAAGAAGAAGAAGAAGAAGAAGAAGAAGAAGAAGAAGAAGAAGAAGAAGAAGAAGAAGAAGAATGTGGAGGCAGAAGAGAAGAAGATGATGAAAAAGAAGATAAAGAATTATTTTTATTGAGCTAACTAACATACCTCGGTACACAAGGTTTTCCCTTGCAAGGTCTGTTAGTCTCTGGCTTGCCAGGCACGTCTTGGCACAGGTCCAGACTGACATTCTCTACAACATCTGGAGCTCCTCCACTTACTGCAGAGACGACCTTCTCACATTGTACGTCCCGAGTCTCTATGCCAGGTCCACCACAAGGACATTCCGTCCATGTTTCAAAGGCTAGCCACTGATACCTGGCAACAAGAGTCGCTCTTTTGTGAGATTTCCTAGTTTTACCGGATATTTGTTTTATAACAAAGTCTCCCCCCTCCTTTGTTGTTGTTTTCGTTAGAACCCTAGGATATTTAGATATCTACCAAGGGCGCATAGGGGCACTCTGACATTTTACACACCCCCCCCCCCCAACCCCTTTCTTAAAAAAATGCGAGGGGGAAAAGGGGAGGGGGGGGGGTTTGAGAGGAGTCTAAAAAAGGTTGCAAGAAACTGAATGGTTCCCCTAATTATGTATACTCATTCTGTTTCTAAGTATTTATTTATGACCTGACAACTACTGGGCTTAAAGTTTTATCGCAGCTTATCATAAAGTAAAAGTAAGTTTCAAGTTTGAACAACGGATCAACATCACCGCACAGGGTAATGACCCATAAGTACTCCGTTCTTCTTCTAACTTAAGTCTGAGTCCGACGAATCTCAGCACAGTGCACAGGCTCTGTAGCACCGGCGAGGTACCTAAAATACTTTTTGGGTAGATTTTTAACTCCACATTTTCTGCATGGGCAGCACCGTTAGGCTACTCTTTTCTACCAAGGTATTTTTTTTACGTGCGCAACTATAGACGAGTTTGAATCTCACTGCCCAGGGGTAATTACTTGAAGTTAAAATCCACGTAAAAAATTCCAGCCCTTACCGGGGATTGAACCCGTAACCTCCACGCGCAGCTTATCATAAACATGAGAAAGAAGCATTCGTCTTTGTTTGTTCATATTGTGAGAGAGGAAAACTGGAATATGTTGTGAAAACTGCAAATATTTGTAGACAGAGAGGTAGAGAAAGATGACAGCAAGTGTGTGACAACCTGTTCCTCGTAATATGAACATTGGCCGACCCACTACACTGAGAGGAAAGGCAAGACGGGCATTTAACCAGCTTGTGACCGGTACCATAAGTATCCCAACTCTGCGCTGGCTACTGAAGATGTGAACCGAGCATGCATGGGAATGCCCCGAGTGCTGTGATGTCAATTCCTGACCCAACTCAACTCAATGGAAAAGTGTCAGCCTACGATTACATACATGCTGATGTAAATAGCAAGGTAGACAAAAACCAGGACTGCCTACGCTAGTCAAGATTGAACTTAGAGATGATGGTTAACATCGAATTACTATTGGGGGGGGGGGGGGGGGGGGGTGGCAGGGGTGGGGAGCTCTCCCAAAAAATTGACGTATCTTACGTGGAACTACATCTATAAAACTTTAAGAAATTTGGTGCATGCAGTCTTTAGCGTTTCAAACTAGACTTGCTGGTTAAACCAATAGGATCCCGCTGCTAAGAAAGCTCGTTTGTTTGGTTCGTTTTAAGGCTGTAAATTTCAAAATTTTTAGATCTGCGTGACCTTGAAACAAATAAGATTTACATTTATAGGAGTGAGGCCAGTGTAGATACTTGTATCCAGACCTGGTCTGACTGACTGACTTTCTACCCCACTAGGACATCACACAAGCGATAAACACCCAATGACACAAAGTGCCACCATGTGGATGAGGATCGCCGTGGAGAGGTCCCAGAGACCGCGTTCAGACAATTGGCCATATTTATGGCCTGCCTATATTGCGGCCCCTGGCAAAAGCCAGGGTAGGGCTTCACATAACAAAAAATTTCGTCCTAAAAAGGATGAAACTGGATTAATTTATCCAGACCTGGTACCAGAGTATCACATTTATGGAGACCTGCTTAGCTCTCGTTCTCGTCTGCAAACCCAGAGTTGATTGTCGAGCTAAACTGACATAACAGCACTCGCGATGTTCCCATAAGCCCTTGGTCATAATCTTCAACATCCAGAAATACACGGGCAGTTTTAACATATAACTGTGAACCCTGGACACTTAAACAATTTCTTGAAGCCTCGGAGATATGGTTTTACAGAAGAATCCTTTGAATTCCTCCAACAACCCAGTTGTTATAAAAGGGGCTTGAATACAATTTATCGCAAATATCAGAAACAGACAGTCGTCATTTTTAATTTTTTATTTTATGAGAAGGGAAAAAAATGGAACATGTTGTGATCAAGGGAAAGTTATGTTGAAAAAGTGACAGAGGAAGAAAACGCGAGAATTTTTAACAGCATTGTGGAGGGGCAAGATCGCCAACACCAGTAGGCTGGACACTTGATGATGATGATGATGATAATGATGATGACGATGATGAAATGCATTTAAAAAATGTCACTGACATTTCAAATCACCCGATTTTAATCAGACCGCAATGAAACAAAATACATGTACAGTTACACCGAACAACTCATACTTTCTTTCGTTTCACATTCTTTTCCCGTGCAATGTCGTGTGTGAGTGGGTTTGGCCAGGTGCTCACAGTAATGGGCCGACGCTGGCTCGTACGTGCCATTGTTCTCGAATAATCTCTCACAGTAAAACTTCTGGGCCTGCACGCCATCTTGTCCACATTTGGCATCACATTCCTCGTAATCATTGGACATGGCATAGTTGTATCTGTGGATATTCATAAATATCAAAGCAACGCAAACAATGAAAATTTGAAATAGTCATAGTCTTTGGTCGGCTTTGTGGTTAAGTCGATGCGAACGCTTCGTAATGCCGGGATGCCGGGTTCGATCCCAGCTGCAGGCCATGTGTCTTGCGTTGGTTTCGACAGTGGTATCAAGAAAGCCGACCGTCTAGAAAGCAATTACAAACTACTAGACTAGAAAATCACAAAACAGCCTTGGGGTTGGTTCTGCCACGTCCTGTAAAGGATACGCAACTAACCATAGTCTTTGTCTTAGTCGATGTTTCAACATCACTACAATCGGGTTTCCCCAAACTTGCTCCGTTTCAATGCTAGTGAAAATCCAATGAAACGTCCCTCATTTTTGCAACTGAAAAACAAAAATAGTTAACAAACAACTACTTGAAATAAAGAAGACACAAACAATAGATTGCACAATTTATTGCATGGCATATTTCGCTGTATCTCATACAAGCTTTGTCTCTTCTTTCGGCAGATACTGAAGGGAATACTTGTTAAACATGACCGGAAAAGCAACAGCTACCTTATATTAGTAGCAGAATCAGGCCAGCTCTATTACACACCGGCGACCGGTTCGCCCACTGGCTGGTCGGTAGACGACTTCGTCGCCTGTCGGGAAAGTATTTGGGTCTATATCCTTTGATCACATCAACACCAGACACACACCAGAAACGCCAGAAGACTTGTTAATCAACATAGAACTGGTACTATTAGCCATCGGACGTTGGGGTTCATCCTGAGGGGAGGATCTGAGCACCTATGGACATATCCCGGCAATTGATAACCCAACTAACTAACTAATGATAACTAACTAACTAACTAACTAGCTAACTAACTAACTAACTAACTAACTAAAACTAACTAACTGCTAACTAAGAGTCCTAGCTTTAGGCTAACTTCTAACTGCTACCTAGCTAGCTAGCTAAACTAACTAACTAACTACCTATTTAACTGTACCTAGTAGCACATCACTCACTGGTCACATATCATAACTAAAGCACTCACTCACCAAGCACTCACTCACTCACTCACTCTCACTCTCACTTACACTGTCATTGTCGTCACTCATAAACTAACTAAGTAAAAAGTTAACTTCCCTCCCGCATCCTCCCTCCCTACAGGACATAACTAACTAAGAACCTAACTAACCTAACTAATTTTTTAACTAACTAACTAACTAACTAACTTGTGTAACTAACTATAACAAATTCAAGTCACTCACTCACTCACTCACTCACTCACTCACTCACTAACTAACTAACTAACTAACTAACTAACTAACTAACTAACTAACTAACTAACACTGCAAGAGTCCCTTTTAGGTCTATTCGATGGCGAGCAATGCTAAGCCATTTAATATAGTGCACATAAGCTGTTCACATATATAACCTAAAGCAAGCCAAGCCAAACTCAATTACCCGTAAATAAACACTATAAAGGATGCGCATCCCGGCAGAACAACCCAGCATTACGAAGCGCAAATTTAAGTCCAGTAGCTCGCTTTCTGGACACGCCTACCACTGTCGAAACCAACGCCACATGGGATCGAACCTGAAAAATCAAAAAATCGCAACACTAAGCCACAGATGGATGGAGGGAAGGGGGGGGGGGGGAGGGAGGACTCATGAAAAGGAAAACCAAGACTTTTGAGATAAGATGTACATGTAAGCCGACAATTAAACTATCCGAGACATATGCTGACAAATTGCTGGAACGACACTGCACCAAATACTCTTAGAAACTAAAGATCGAATGGTCCCGGCACATTATTAGATTGTAGGAGCACGTTTACCAACACAGGCAATGCGCATAAGAAAATCAAATACCAGAGCTAGAGGGCGTCGTTTTCAATCTCGTCATCCCCTTGTGGGATGCCATTTTTAGATATTTTGAAGCCCGACCCTGGCTTTTGCCGGGGGCCTGGAATATGGCCTAAGCGCTAAACAGGGTTTCCGGGACCTCTCCAATGGTGATCCTCATTCGCATGGTGGCACTTTGTGTGTTTATCGCTTGTGTGATGTACTGGTGGGGTACAACTTAACATACATACATAGCTAGAGGGCCCTGGAGAAAAAGATAAATTGAAAAACGTAAAAGACACGCGTTCACAGCAAAAGAATAGCTAGTGCTACATATCGAGCTCTTGACTGCTGCCAACTGCTTTGGTAATCTGGTACTCTGACTTCCAGTTTTACAACAAACGGGTCACCCCATAGTTGCTCCGCTCCCGTGTCAATGAAAAACATGCAGAATGTCCCACACTGTCCCTTGTGGACACAATTTGCGAAGACTGCAGTCTCAGCATATACACTAGCATACACATGCATTAAAAGCATAAGGGAGCCATCAGAAGTGCTAACACGAACAGTCCAACATTAGAAATGCAGTTTAGCATCGATGGAAGCAGCTGTTGCACATGTGATCAATTTTAACCATACAAGGCACCACCAATTCTGTTGCATCAGGCAACGCGCCATTTTCTGAATCAACAGTTCACAACACCGCGTTTGTCATAGTCGAAAATACTTCAAATTAAATATGCAGCTCACAGTGTCGCGCCAAGCGCTCAACTCAGTAGCTGGGCGACAGAACGATATCCTTTCAGTCTACAAATAGAGCAAAATGCAACAGCCACCGCCTGTCAGAAGGAAAATGTTTGCCACAATTAAAAACAGTGACCGTGCTTATCGTCCATTTTGACCGGAAGTCTACCAACTATTCGTTCTGACAATGTACTTTGCAGAACCAACACTAGCATTTTTGGTTGCTGTGGTTTTTATAGGCAAACTAATTACGTTCAGTAGGTTGCCATTGCTTTCTAAATGGTCAACTCTCATTTTAACTATCCAAACAAACGCAAAACAGTCTTCCGCTTCATGACAAAAAGGGAAACAAATTATTCTTAGCTAATTAATTCACTAACAAACTTATTGTTGCAACATACTTTAGCAAGAGAAAAAAGCAACATTGTTACTCAACCCAATGCCTACACAAACTTCACATTTTAGCCACAAACAAAATTGTAACTCTGTGTTATATCTCCACAAACTTCACATTTCAGACAGAAGCAAAATTGGTACTTTATATTATATCTCCACAAACTTCACATTTCAGACAGAAACAAAATGGGTACTCTATGTTATTTCTCCACAAACTTTACATTTCAGACAGAAACAACATTGTTACTTTATATTATATCTCCACAAACTTCACATTTCAGACAGAAACAACATTGTTACTTTATATTATATATCCACAAACTTCACACGTTAGCCACAACGAACGACTGACTCTACCTGATGTTTCCACAGGCCTCCCGGACACACTTGACTTCATCCTTTCGAGGTGGTTTTAGAAGAGAACAGGATTCATCGTCGACTTTGGCATCGGAATCTTTATCATAGCATCCATGTACGATCGTCTGCACACCTGCCAATGATCAACGCTGTAACTGTAAAGACTGTCCTATGGGAACTAAGGATGCATTTACGTTATGTTATCACAATCGACGTCATTGCACTTTGAGTATTCCCATGCGAGCTCAGTCCTCCAATCCAGCAGCTACTCCAAGGCACTTCAACTGATTGTTGCCATGAGAAGTTGGTTATAGTATCTCCTGTCTTTATCTCGAAGTTGGCATATACGTGCGTTGCCAAACTTCACTCCTAGGTAATTCAATCGCAATAGCGTTAGAGATTCAACATTATTCCCTACCTATTCCGTACAGAGTTGATGACATCAGCTCTGTCCATGCTTCTTTCCGTTTGCACTGGTGCATTACTTACCAGCTAGTCAGCTCATTCCTGACCTTTTACACCTGCGTACCCAGGTATGTTGATCCAGATGATGGAGGTTAACTTCGACCTCCGAATGTTTTCTACCTGTTTGGAGCGTAAACTACCTGTTGCGATGTTCGGAAGCATTTTCAAGGAGACTGAAACGATTATCGCATTTGTGGCCACCTGTTCTGCTACATATGCGAGTGCTCTGGAAGCAGCAGTCATCTCTATGGTCATGCTTGACGCAGTAGTCTGGTAAGCGTCGATATCTTTTACTGCAGAACCAACCCCAGCCTTTTTTGGCTGCTGTGGCTTACGTTAAGTATTGCTTACTGCACAGTATACCATTGTCGAAATCAGCACAAAGCGGCTGCTGACAAATCAAACGCAGCTGAAACCAAACCGAGTATGCCAGAAATGCGAAGCTTGTTCACAAAGCCAGAGCTAAAGACATCGACCCCTTTGATAACAGCGGGCAAATTTAACTAAGATAAAATCACATGTCAGCAACACAAACAGCGTCTGTGTCCAGAAAAGAACTGACTACAAACATATACGTCTAGTTTCCCCTTTTGACATTGGTTACGAGTTCTTCTTCTTTCGTTCGCATGAAATAAATTATCTATATCTGCAATGCTGTCTCTAGTATGAATTTCCCTGTCTTTTGTAATTCACTAAGCGGCCCGTAAAGTTTGACTTCCACAAGTGTCTCTTTTGGCCAAAGGTTTTGCCTGAAAGCGTTGAATCTGGGACAGTTTTGAAGGATGTGATCTGTTGTTTCAGGTGCCAGTCCACAAATACACATGGCTGATTGGCCAATCTTAAATTTGTTGTACATGTGGCAGCGAAGTCGATTGTGCCCTGTTCTAAGGCGAAGGATAATGACTTGCTCTGGTCTGTCCATAATATGGTAATCGTCTTGTGCCAGTTTCGGTGGCATTCTGATTGATTTGATCATTCTCTTCTTCTGTTGATAAGAGACTGGTATGTCAGGTTGTTCTTCAGTTGCACCTTCCTTAGCTAGTTTATCAGCTCTTTCGTTTCCAGGAACTCCACAGTGGGAAGGTATCCACTGCATTACTAAATTACAACGGTTGCCTAGTTCGGATAATAGTGTCCGTATGCTTGGTAATTTTCCAGACTGGAGTGACTGAAGTACCGCTTTTGCATGTCAGGATTACTACTGGTTGTGAAAAATACCCTCTATTTAGTAGTTTCTCTGCCGCTATCTTGATGGCTTAAACTTCTGCATCATAGTTGTGACAGTGCTTTCCTGTTGGTATTTTGGCTGTATCCCTGGTATTATTAGGATACTCAATGTACACTCCCGCACCGCCGTTTCTGACTGCGCTTTCTGCTGACCCATCTGTGTAAACACGGACCCAAAGATTATGTGGGTATTCATCATCAAGTAGACTGAGGGTGGCTGTTTTGCGCTGCACACTGTTTTGTTCTTCCTTGTCAAATACCCCTTTCACTTCAGTCTTGATGTGTATTGGAAACTTATACTCCTCTCTCCAGGGGGTCCGTTCTGGGACAGCATTTAAGGATCTATCAGTTGCAGGCAAATCAGTGGTTTGTCTGCCGAGCCGTTTGGCCTGGTGGATAAAACTACTTTTCTTTAGTCGTCCCAAAGCCAAATTTTGGAATCTTTCATTCATGGGGTGACTGGGCATACTAAGAAACTTTTCTGCTTGTAAAAGCATCTTGGTGTCTCTGCGTTCACTCAGTGCTTGGGTCATCCCCATTTTCTCCATCACAGCTATAGGTGTTGATTTCATACTGCCTGTGGTAACTCTGAGTGCTTGATTTTGCACTTTGTCTAATTCTTGCAATGTGGTTTTTGATACCGAACTCCATGCTGTTGATCCGTGTTCAAGATGTGGTCGAACACTTTGTTGGTAAGGTTACGAGTTGTTTTTGTTGTTGTTGCTGCTGCTACTGTTGTTGTTGTCTTGTTGCCAAGTTCGCGTCAGTTCGTTGACTGTAAACATACTTATGGCATGCTTTGAATCTGGCCTGTTTTTTTCTCTCCATATACCACAAATAAGGCAATATTTATAATGTGACGTTTGTTTACATTATAATTACTTTCCTACAAGGGCGTGATTTTTAAAAGGTTGCAAGCCAAATTCCAACATTTTACGTTGAACGGTTACCGAGGTACAGATTTTAAAAGTTGGACACGACCTTTGGAACGGACTGTAACTTTCTCTTTGATGCGGTCAAGTCGGCAACATTTTATTCTCACAACATTTCTCGATACGCATTTTATAGCGGGTTGGACCTGGGAGCATATCTTGTTTAACCAATGTTCTGCCCGGCTCTCTAGCGTAGTTGGCTAAACCGGATTGCGCGGAGACTGGGTGACGAACTCCTTGTGGTCCGGGTTCAATCCCGGGGGTAGGCAGAAAAGCCATATTTCTCCCAGATTTACGGTATTTACAATGGAATCAAGGCCGAAAGGTTGCGATATCCATAATACCGAGCCTAAGGGTTAACAACTCATGGCTTCTGGATACTAAAACAAACAAACAAACAACCAATGTTCTAGATAACCACATGAACTTACCTTGACCACAAGTGACAGAGCAAGCCGACCACTTCTCGAACTTCCACTTGAACTTGTTCATTTCCAGAGTAACGTCACTCTTGTGTACCGTATAGCTGAAGTGCACCGTGGTGTTGGTCATGACTTTATTGGGATATACCTGCAACCATTATATCATCATCATCATCATCTAGTGCCTTGCCGACTGGCGTGGGCGATCATGTCTCTTCAAAATATATTCGATCCGCAGCTGCGTATATCAGTTCGTGTGTTGACACCCCTCCATGCCATGACAGAAGACCGTCAAGAATCTTCTCATGCTGTCTTCCTCCGTCTCTCTTTCCAAAGATCTTTCAAGGGGTCACAAAATGTTTTATTTTCCCTCTTCTCATAACATGACCAACAAATGACGACTGTCTCTTCCTGATGTTTGCGATAGGTTGTCTAAGAGCATTCGCCTTTTTCAAAACAGTTTGGTTGCTCTTCTTAGCTCTCCAAGGAATTCTAAGGATTCTTCTGTAAAACCACCTCTTCGAGGTCTCAAGATATTGTTCGGCTTGTTTATTCATTGCCCAGGATTCACGCATCTTAAAACTGGCTGCATATAGCATGCCAGAATTCGTTTCCTAACCTTCAATGGTATTGATTTATTCCATAAAATGTTCTTTTTTGTGTGTGTGTGTTGAAATGCAGTTTCAGTCTGTCCTATTCTGTTGTTTAGCTCTGTGATACATCTTCCATCTGATGTTATCATTGTGCTTTGATACTTTAATTTCTGTATTTGCCCTAAAATACTGCCTTTGACTTTTATTACACATTTAGGCATTTTTCTTTTCTTGGAAATCACCATTATTTATGTCTTCCATTTGTTCAAACCGAGGCCCATTTTATCACTTTCTACCACCACCGTATCTATAAATTCCTTTAGTCCTTTCTGATTTGTGGCTATCAAGACGGTGCCGTCAGCATAACGCAAGTTGTTTATGACCATTATATATATAAATATATATATATATATATATATATATATATATATATATATATATATATTATATATATATATATATATATATATATATATATAAACGAACGAACGAACAAACTTTATTTTCAAAGGGTTAAGAACTGTTTAACAGTCTGTCACTCTAGTCTCCCTCCTTTCCTGTATCATTTCATTTATACATCAAGTAATAGTAAACATTATCAACAGCATCAAAATATTCAATACAAGCCCTTGGATATGCAGGTTTCTTTAACAGTAAAACGCAGTAAATGTCGGGAAAATGTGCACACTTTCTAATATATTTTTTATCTTCTATAGAAGCCTGTAATCTATGCTCAGATATTATTCGAACAGTTTCCGATTGTATGTATAAGTGGTATTTTAAATTGTTTGTGGAAGATGGTTCCAAAAGAGAGCTGCGGAGTTCGCCAAACTTGTTTTATATAAGTCTTTCCTAAGTTTAGGACTGTTTAATATGTTTGGGCGTTTGCTATGCCTTCCATTAAATTTAAACAACGACCAGGACAGATTTCTCACTACTAAATAGACTTCCACCACTTGTGAGTTTTTGCCAAGAGACGATGCCTTCTGGGATAATTTTTTTGTAAATAAATTTTGCCGTATTGAAAAGTAGACGTTCATGAAGCGGTAGCAGCATAAGACCTCTGTATGTTTCGATATTGACTGTTCTATGATTATTACAAGCGGAAGTCAATAAGTAAGTCAGAAATGGTTATGGGATGGCAGGAAAATGTCGCTGATGGTTTCTAAAAGTGATAGCAGCATCGAACTGTATGTCTCTGTTCGTTAGGTGGTGCTAGATGTTGCATGCGCATTCGCAAAACAGAAAAAAATGGCGACTGTACTTACGGAGTGAACCCTCAAGAAAAACGTGCTGTTATGCGCTTTGGATGGGATGGGGAGGGGGTGAGGGCAAAAGGACTGCCTACAAAGGACATTCATAAAGAAATGCTTCCTGTTTATGCTGACAAACGTTTATCCAGTAAAACGATGCATAGCTGGAGGACGCTCTAAAATTGTTGATGAAGTCCGATCTGGTCGTCCTGTTGAGATTGCAACAGAAGCATATGTGCAGCAGGTGGAAGAGATAATTAGAGGTGACAGGCGAGTAACGGTTGACTCTGTAGCAGCTACAATAGGGTGCTCACGTGGTTCAGCATACAACATAATGCATGATCGATTGAAATTAAAGAAAGTGTGATCAAGGTGGGTACCCAGGAAATTAACGGATGAACCAATCAGGCCTATCCTTGTAGCATTTATGTCGATACGCAGATAAAGGAGAAGACATGCTGAACAGTATTATTAACTGTGGACGAATCAAGGGTGCATAATAACCTGTCCCGAATCAAAGCGTGCTTCAGTGCAATGAAAACATTCTTCTTCACCATGTGTTCAAAAATTCTAGGTTACGCCTTTAGCAGGAAATGTTATGCTGACAGTGTTCTTAGGAGTGTTTTTAACTAATTTAAAAAACGAGGGGACAATATGAATGCTGATTCATACTGTAAAGTTCTATTGTTGCTTCATGATGCAATTCGAAGAAAACGCCCAGGCCTGTTGACTAGAGAAATACTGCTCCTTCTTGACAATGCCAGACCACATACGTTTGGTTAACTCAGGAGAAAATTAATTATCTAGGGTGGGAACTTCTAGAACAGGGCTATTCAACTGGCGGTCTGCAGGTCATATCTGGCCTACAGAGGGCTAAAAAATGGCCCTCAGATCACCTGCTAGATGTATTATATTAACGCTCTTTCTATGCTGGGACTAGGCATGTGGCACGTGACGATCCCCATTTTCCAAATTTTGGCCCCTGAGTAAATAAGCCAAATAGCCCTGTTCTAAAACATACACCTTACACGCCTTCTAAGCCCTTAGTTATTTCCACCTTTTTGGCTCACTGAAAACACACTTTGAAGAAGACGTTTCGCGAATGACGCAAAAGTTGAATGTGAAGTGAAAATGTGGTTTAGAAAACAGAGCACACAGTTCTCTGCAGCAGTTTTGGGAGGACTGATAAAAAATATGGGACAAGTGCATCAGGGTTGGTGAAAATTATATTGAAAAATAAAATGACAGTGTACGTGTAAAAATGTCGGCGTCTGTAGCTTGGGCCTTTTGAACGCGCTTCGTAAAAAGCTGCGGAAAATTTGGGTTACACTCATGTACCGTGATGTTGATCCGTTGAATAAGCATAAAACATGAAGTTGGTACCAGGACATTACTGTCAAATGGCCAGATCATCTCATCTGTTGTTGTTCTCTAAAGAACAGCACAACTTTATAATCGTGTATCTGTGTGAACAGGCGACTGCCAGACCAAACTGAGAAGGGGAACTTACCATGATGTGAATGTTCCCTCGAAGTGGCCCAGGGGAAGTAATCATCTCATTGGTGTTGGCGTTAGTTCTCTTGTATTCAAACATGGCGCCATTGATAACCAACTTCTGGTTGTCAGGCTGCCTCTTGTCTCCCCCGAGAACATACGTTGCGTATTTGGCATTCTGAATCGCTAAAACAACACAATACATTATTGCAGCTACTTCGGTTATAACATGTTCTGACATGTCCTTGTCATCCTAAAAAAAGTTAACATTAAACTCATGAAAAAAATAAATATTACTTATAACTTTCTTTAGACAATAATAAGAATAACTCCACAGGGAAGCATTACAGCAGGAGTATACCAATCAACAGTAGAAGATCCCCCATCAACTATTGTTTCGTCCCATTACCTCCCAGACAGCTTCAGAGGGTGAGCCGACTTGGGTCATGACTCCCAGGCCTTGATCTTCTCCTGCTGCACTTTACCGGATGTTCTCGGACAGTGACAAGACGAAAATTGTGACTATGCAACGGGTACTGTGAGATTCGAAGTTAAATATATTTATAGTCGCTGCGGTAGCCTATTAGATCTGTCGGCTTACCTTAACGACCAAGTGGCAAGCTTACTGTTGGTTCATCGGACACACGTTAGATTTTGCAATTGGCAGAGAGACACTGGCAGACAATTCGGCAGACTGTGGAGGTTATCTCCACTTAACGAAGCCAAGGCGATTCTTCACAGTCCATCACAAAGCGTTGGCGGCGTCCGTGCCTTAGCCGTTGCGAGTCCGACTCGTAATTCCAAAGTACCGCGATTGAAACCCACTGCTGGCTGCGTGGATTTTGATCGTAGTATGCGGCTTCGCAGGTCGACCCACCCTAAAATGGGTATAAGGATGTATGTTCGTGGGAAGTACAAACGGACGGTGTAATGCTGACCACATTATCCATCCTGTGCCGATTAGTCTGTAAAAATATGGGTGCTCTTACCACATGTCCGATGTGCCTAAAAGGTGTGAAAAAGGATCTTACTTACAACGCGTTACGACCAGAAGCTTTTCTCTTCATTCTGTGACGTCTGTCCCCCCAAAAAAATCAAGCCTCGCTTGCTCCCATCTTTAAATCATAGTTGTAGGCGAAATAAAAGACTAAACCAACACATCTCAAACAGAGAATGGTCTAACGCGTGGTTGTCTGGTCAGTCTATAAGAACAATTGAGTATTTATTCTGATAGACCGGTTGCCACCATCAGTCGGGACAACATTATGATAAAGCATACTTGAGGCTCTCTGAGAACTAGTAAACAGGACAACAGAACAGAAGAAACATCCATCTTCTTCTTTAAGTCCATGCCGTGCGGCGTTGGTAGTCATGTATATCCACACCCTTATGTCTCATGTACTTTCAGTCAACTCTGACACAGATAATCCTCCATACCATGACGCCAAACTGTCAAGCATCTTTTCTCTCGGGCTGCCTCTGCCTCTCCTCCTTTCATCTATCCTACTTTCACGATGGACACCAGTTTTCTCCTTTTCATCACATGACCAAAGAAATTAAATTGTCTCTTTAACAAGAACACAGATCCTGGGAGAAAATGACTCAGCTAGGAGTGACCAGAGAGCCTGGCGATTTTCTATTCACAGGGGGATTTTTAAAAAAATTAGCAAATTTTAAACCATGTTGCAACGGGCAACATCCGTACGGGGACTTTTCGTTGGCTACTGAGGCGGGAGGCGCAGCAACATATGGAAATCTCCCGGGGACTGCGATGTAATTTCTTGATTCATTCGTTCATTAATTCCTTTAAAAATCAAAGGCTGTTACACATTTTCTGTTTCTGGGCATTGGCGATCTAAATCTTAATGATTTAGAAAAGGATATATATATATATATATATATATATATATATATATATATATATATATATATATATATATATATATAGAGAGAGAGAGAGAGAGAGAGAGAGAAAGAATGTGAAAGACAGAGAGTGTGTGAAAGAGAGGGAGAGTGTGTAGGAAAGAGAGAGAAAGTGTATATGTGAAAGAGACAGAGTGAGATAGAGGCGTGGGGAGAAAGATAGAGAGAGAGAAAGAGAGAGAGAGAGAAAGAGAGATAGAGAAAGAATGTGAAAGACAGAGAGTTTGTGAAAGAGAGGGAGAGTGTGTGGTAAAGAGAGAGAGCAAGTGTGCAAGCGAAAGAGACAGAGAGAGAGAGAGAGGCGTGGGGAGAAAGAGACAGAGTTAGAGAGAGGCGTGGGGAGAAAGAAGAGAGAGAGAGAGAGAGAGATCCTGGAAATACTGTATATTCCTAAACTGATTAAGACCCAGTTGATTTTTTCAAGTACCAAATAGGAGAACAACCCAACACAAAGCTACACAGCATCCATCTCACAGCGTCGTGTTTCTTGGGCCAAAATGCTCGTGCACCAAACTGATTATGTATCAAGTTAATCAGTGTTAAGACTTATATCACAAGGTTTTTTTTTTTTTTTTTTTTGGTTTAAAAAAAGGTGCCGGTACTCATAACAGTATTTATTAAAGGTGTTGGTTCTCAAAACTACTCTAGAATTAAAACAAAAAACCATGTATAAATAAAAACCTTATACTCAACATTTAAAGTTCTCGCTGACTTAACATGTGTTTAGGATAAAAACCTACCAAGGAACCTTAATGATTGTTTTGTTTCTTCGGTTGTGATTTTTGATGTATCAGTTTTTAACACATAATCATATATAAGAGAGTCTCTTGGTGAATGTTTTGTCTCTTCAATCACGATAATGAATACATCACTTGGAAATGCACAATCATACCTAAGAACTGTGATGATTGTCTTGTCTCTTCAATCTTGATTTGTCTAGCTCCCGACGGTACTGTCACAGCAAGCAAGTACACCTCACCTGTAATAACATTTCAAATGTATATATATAAATAAAGTTATGTCAATGTTTATAAATGCTCGAAGACTACCTATCACAAGCATTAGAAAGAGACAGTCATCTTTTTTTGGCCATGTAATGAGAAAAAGGAAAGTGGAACATTTTGTGACCACTGGAAAGATCTGTGGAAAGAGAGACAGAGGAAGACAACGTGAGAAGATGCTTGACATGGCTGCAGGGGTGTCACACGCGAACTGATAAACGCAGTTGCAGACCGCAGACTGTGGAGAGGCATAAGCGACCACGACAGTCTGCCTGGCACTTGATGATGATTATGATGATGATGAAGTAATAAGATATGATAATCTTAAATATTAGGTAATTATAAATGAGAAAAACGGATTAAATGTCAGTTTCGGAAGAAAAAAAAAAGCTTTTACACTAAATGGAATAGACGTTGTGTATACGAAACCTTCATCAGCTAATCAAAACAAAAGCACAAGGACACCACAGCAGAATAGCTTCAAAAACTACCGTACTGTCAATCAGGTTCCGTGCCGTCGTTGCTGTTGACGTGGTGAGAAGCTGAACATCCTCATTAATCAAGGAATTATCAAGTGTAACAGGAACAACATAACTGGGTCAAAAGGCGCAGATATCGCCGTCTAGCTGTAAACCACATCACAATGTCTAAAGAGCAAAATCAGGAGGAGGGGGAGAAGAAGAAGAACAGCATTCCGTTACTACATAAAATGTTTTATTGTAGTATGTAAAATGGTATAACATTGGCGAGAAAAAATAAACGAAACAATAAAGCCATGTTGTTGAAATTTTTAAATAACAGACACCAAATATTAAGATTTCATGGATGTAAGTGAACAGTAACGCACCTGCAGTTGGTTTCTTCACAAAGTCGCCTTGTACGATCTTACACTGGGAGCCATCACCGGCGCAGACTCCACAGACATCTTCCTTCTTGGTGGAGTTGATCTTTCCATCGCAACCTACCGTCTGGAAATATGAGAACAAACCAACTCCCTCAGTGCCAGGTGGTTTCAAATTAGAAACCCAATTGCTGTAGTTAAAATAGTTGTCCAGATTTCTGTTGCATACTCAGACCAAACATGAAATAGATAATAACACTCTATGTGTTGCAGTATATAGACATGAAATTTAAAAAAGACAGCGCGTTGCTGACATGCAAATATAATCAGATTATTAGCTATGTATACATCACGATTTTTTTCTGCCCCAACTCTAATATCTCGAGTTGAAAACGGGACACCCCACTAATATTTCTAGCTGAAAACATGACGCCTATGCAAATCAGTGCCCCCCCCCCCCCCCCTTTTTTCCCCCCTTTTTCCCTTAAAAAGAACTTCTACAATTTATAATAATGATTATTATTTGTAATACTATTATTATGATTATTGGGCGGGTCTTTTTCAAAAATGACCTTGGCTCCCAGGCCTTGAGTGGTTACTCGGTACCTCCCCGGGAAGTAAAGGCGGCGGCGTGATGCTGACCACATCACCCATCAAGTGCCGTTGGGTTTATAAAATATAGGTCTATCGGACGCCTATATGCCCGTAAAAAATCAGTTGGCAGTTGAAAATCGAAAAGAGTAGCCTAAACAGAACCTTATATCTCCCTCGACACCCACAGAGGTAAAAGAGGAAGTGAAGAAGAGAAGAAGAAGTGTATGTTCTATTCTCGAGCTTATTTCTGGATTTTTATAAAATATGACAACAATTTTTTGGGGGGGAAAAGGGTGGGGGAGGCACGGGGCAGGGGGGGGGGGGAACAAAACGGTGAAAACGGTACGAATGGTCACCCTATAACTTGGCCACTTAGACTCACATGGCTGCCCGGGCAAAGTTTGGAGTTAAAAATCTACCCAAAGTGTTTTAGGGTCCTCGCTGGTGCTACAGAGCCTGTGCACTGTGCTGAGCTTCTTCGGACTCAGACTTGAGTTAGAAGAAGAACGGAGCACTTATGGGTTACTACCCGTGTGCCATGATGTTGATCCGTTGTTCAAAACCTCAAACTCACAGACCATAAACTGCGCATACGTCGGTCTTCACGCTGTTAGCCTTTGGGCTTCTGTGTGCCTGCAAATGTTCACATACATAACATACAAGTAGCTCAGCATACCAGACATTTCCCGCCCATACACATATTGTTGTTGCCGGTCGTGTAGCCGCAGGGTGTCCCATCAGCGACGTCAACGTCGATGGTTACAATCTCGTTGGTGTAGAAGGACTTACACGTCTGCTGGCAGACGGATGACGCTGGAAGTACAACATATCCATATAAACATCATTATTTAGACGTTTTAGCTCAAAGTGCCTGATTCATGTATGCATTAGAAAATAACAATGGCTTTGAGCACGCGATCACTGTATTACAAATTGAAGTTTAGACATTGCAACTTACAGTAGACGATGATATTTTCATAATAATTATTATCATCATCACTGTTATCATCATTTTTATTATTATAATCATTACCGTCATATTTATTAATATCATCATCATCATCATCAAATTATAATATTTTTTATCATCATTATTATCATTATTATCGTTATCATTGTCATGATCATCATTATCAACATCATCATTGTTATCCTTATTATTACTATTAAAATCATAATGTTTATAACTGTAATTATTATCATTAGTATTACTATTATCATCATCATTATTATCATCATTATCTTCATTATCATCACCACCACCAACATCTTGTTGTATCGTTTTTACTCATAGATCTTGCAGCATTTCTGTCATTTCCTTCGATCCTGTGCAATCTTGACAACATTGTTAATGGAATCCTGTCCAACATATTTCTCTTATCAGCATTGGTCTTAGGGTGTCTCTTGGTCTTATTTCCCCAGTCCATTTGTTTTCCATTTCAATGCCTGTCTGGCGATTGTTTTTATCTGGGATCTTCCTTGTTTTTCCGTCACCCTGACTAATCTTTTTTTTCTCTCTGGATGGAACACCTTTAAGAGTAGCCATTTTTTAAGGTTTTCCGGTTTTAACAACGTATCAACATCATGGCACAAGTTTATTAACCATTAATCGTTCCGTTCTACTTCTAACCCAAACCTGAGTCCGAAGAATTTCAGCGCAGTGCACGAACTCCGTAGCACCGGCAAGGATCCTGAAAATACTTTAGGTCGATTTTTGACTGCAAATTTAGCCCGGGCAGTGCTAGGCTACTCTTTTCGATTTTAAACTTAAATGAATTTTGTTTACGTGCGCAGCAACACACACGGGCGTCCGATCTTACTACCTAGAGACCAGGGGAAATTACTAGAGGGCCACTTGAAAAAATGCCAGCCTTCACCGGGGTTTGAACGCGAAACCTCCAGCGCTCGAGGCGGACGCCATACCCCGAGGCCACTCAGCCACATTCTGCCAGACAACAAAAAGTAGGGGAGTCGCCGTGGCCGAGCGACTAGACGCTCGCCGCGGATCGGAAGGTCGTGGGTTCGCTCCTTCGCGGAGCCGGACTTTTGTCAAAAATGACCTTGGCTCCCAGGTCGACCCAGCCTTGAGTGGGTACCGGGTGCCGCCCCGGGAAGTAAAGGCGGCTGGCGTGATGCTGACCACATCATCCATCTTGTGCCGATTGGTCGTTAAAAATATAGGTCTAGCCCTATATGCCCTATACGCCTCAAGGCGTGGAAAAGGGTCCTTGACTTTTTTACTTTTACAAAAAGTAGCCAAGAAAGGACAAGACGATTGACTGACTGACTGACAAATCCGGCTTAGAGCTTCGCTATTCTCCTCGCACAGCGAGCAAGACTACGGTAATACTGGGTGAAGCCATGGCATGTGGCCGAACGATGCAGCCCACAAAAAGATCTTACGACCCTTACAGCGCAAGGCAAACGACTTGACCACTTCCTCACTCAGACTCCCATGACAGACCATACAGCGCATATGAAAATACTTCGTTTTTCATGCGGTGTGATAGACTGACGAACAGGACAGATCCCGGATAGGCAGAATCATCCAACGGCTACTGAAATGGAAAACAAAAGATAATAACACCTTATGTAGCCGTTACATGTGCGCTAACTGTAATTTCTTAGGGTCTTCAGCAGTTTATTTAGAAACTGTCTTGGTGTACTGGTACCCACAAAGCAGCCTTTCTTGTTTAAGTGGTGTCAAAATAATCGTTAGTAAAACTTTCCATTCTGCACATGTTTTATGCCACCTACCATTCTCTCCTTTGAAAGGCAAAATTAGCGGATAAAGTATCTGTAAAAACAATCATTCCACACCTTCTGTTTCAGCGACTTACCATTCTGTCCTTCAAAAGGCAGCCATTTGTGAGTCCCATAACGGATCTGTAGACTGTCCCACACCGCGCACTCGCCAGCACGAATGTCTTCAAACGTGGAGCACGTCTTAAAAATCGATTACAAAACAAGGTGTTAACAAATTTCCTATATACACCGCTGTACTAGCTTCTTTGTCTATATTTATTTTGAATCCTTATAATTATATCTTTATGCTCCTGTTAAATGCAGCTAAATCTTTAGCATTTAATGACAATACATTTTAAGCTGAACCTTTTATGTTTCTTTTTAGTTATGCCCGTGTGTTCTGAATCCTTTTTTTTTCCTACTACGGTGTCCCCTGTTGTTTGCGGCTGAATCATTTGTATTTATTAAAATAAATATTAAGCATAATTCTGTTCAATTAGGCCTACTAAATTCTAGATTTCCCCGTGTGCGTTCCGGGGCCCTGTTGTGGAGAAAACAAGAACAGACCCACTGTCTACCCAAAAGCATGTTGTAAGAGTCGAGTAATTGGGAGCTTCCTTTAAAGTCGGATTGCATCTGCTTGAGAGGCAAAGAACCAGCAGTCTGCATACAAATGAGTCAGATTTGTACAAACGGATGCACACGTAACACTCAGGTTTTGGAACAGGACTGCAGTCCAGAAGTGGATGAACAACCAGAACTTTCCGCGAAAGCTTACAGCTGGTGAACACGAAGAAGAAGAAGAAATTTTAGATTCTCTGCCCCTGGTTTCTGCGATTATTTACTCTGTTGCTATTTCATAACGGTTACAGCAGGTAGGTGCTTTACTAAAGAGAAAAAACCGTCACGTTTAACCAGCATCCATGAAGGGGGAGCTTTAGGTTATAAGTGTGACGAGATTGTTTGCGCCACATAAAAATAGCTTAACATTGCACGCCACCGACCCGTACAAAGGACTCCTGCATCGTTGATTCGATCAAAGGAGACAGACCCAAATGCAGTCCCGGCCTGCGACGAAGTCCTCTACCGGCAAGTCAATGACAGACCCGGTCGCCCACATATGTGAACGGTTAGGGGTCTTGCCTGCCACATAAATAGTCCAGCTTCAGTGTTCAGCAATTGGCTCAATCCATCTTTAGTCTTGACCTACACCAATAAGCAGGTAAATGATAAGATAACCTTCGGAAGGGATTGAGAAAGCGAGGACGGTCAAAGGAAACCGTAAAACGAACGTTGACGATACTCGATGAATCCCACCCATATCATTGCACTGACATCACAGGATAGAACGTATGGGGGAATAGACGGCAGGCTTTATAAAATATATAACGATTGAACAGTTCAGTGGCAATGAAATGATCTTCTTCAAGTATAATGTGTACGAGATAAATGGTGCCAGTTCTAGGTTTCTGAACCAGTCGGTACTCCATGGGCGATGAGGCTAATATCACATCAGCCGCCTTTACTTTCCACACACTCACGCACACACGCACGCAGACAGACAGACAGACAGCCAGGCAGCCAGGCAGGCAGGCAGGCAGGCAGACAGACAGACAGACAGACAGACAGACAGACAGACAGACAGACAGACAGACAGCCGCCAGCCGCCGGCAGGCAGGCAGGCAGGCAGGCAGGCAGGCAGGCAGGCATGCATGCATGCATGCATGCATGCATGCATGCATGCATGCATGCATGCATGCATGCATACATACATACATACATACATACATACATACATACATACATACATACATACATACATACATACATACATACATACATACATACATACTGAAAACGCGCACTGTGTAAGGGGGAACTTTAGAAATTATATGGATAACTGGGACAAAACAAATAGGCGAATTATAAAATTATATGTAAAATGAAAATGAAGAGGTCACAAGGCTGGCTGTGATACATTAATATTTTCAGAATGATTGAGTTTAGTGAAAGAAAAAAAAAATGGGGAAGATAACAGTGATCAATTATTGGTCATTGAATAAGTGAATAATGTTAAAGGAGAAGGAGGAAGATCTTACATTGTTGATGCAGGTGTCCCATTCGTTGCCTTCACCTTGACACTGTTTGCCATCGTACGCTGGCCTGGATTAAACCGAAAGATCAGAAAGTTGCCATGCTGGTTCTGTGCATTACGTTAACAAAGCAAGCGTTAATATTTCATTGTAATGCACAAGTAAGGGTAAGGCCATTTAGTCGAAGTGTACTTGATTCTCCAGCAAGGTCTGCTATCATCATCATCATCAGTTCGAATCCTGGTGTAATCTTTTATAGCTTTTCTATTTTTCTTGTTGGGTGTGGGGGACCCAGTGTGTCTTCTTCTTCTTCTTCTTCTTCTTCTTCTTCTTCTTCTTCTTCTTCTTCTTCTTCTTCTTCTTCTTCTTCTTCTTCTTCTTTTTCTTCTTCTTTTTCTTCTTCTTCTTTTTCGTGTTCACCAGCTATAAAATTCTGGTTGTTCATTAACGTCTTGATACAGTCTTTTTCCAGAACTTGAATGTTGTGTCCACATTCCATTTTCAGATCTATCATATTTGTAGGCAGACTGTTGGTTCCTCGCCTCTCAGGCAGATGCACTCCGACTTCTGTGGAAATACCCCTAAAAAGTAGACTTTAACAACATGCCTATTAGGGAGCAGTGGGTCAATGGGACCCCGGGACAAATACGAAGAAGTGTGTCCTCTAAAGTCTGCTTCTGTGAGTGTCGTTGACTGTTTGTGAACTTACTGTGCATGCTTGCTGAATAATTTCTCAATAATTGGTACAGGCATCATTATATTCCCGAGAAACAAAGAGAGCTGGTTAAAACACCTAATGAGAATGAATCCAACGTTGCCGACAGGGACATAAAAACTGAAACACCAGGGGGGGGGGGGGGGGGAGACCTAGAAGAACAAGGACTGAGGGAGTCAATGACAGCCCATGACTTCACAACGTCCCAGCATGCTGGAATGAATATGCTTTCTGCAATCTGTTTCTTGAAATTAGAATGCATTCTTTACATGTCTGGTCTCCTGTGAAGTGCAGCGTTTTTTGATAGAATATTTCTGATAAGCACAGTATGTGGCAAATACAGAAATCTGGATTAAGTGATGATACAATCAAGTCTGCGTTATTTGTAAGGAAAAACTGTGTTATTTAATTTGACTAGTTTTGTGATAATATATTAAAAAGAAGATTGAAATTAACTCTTAAGGTTACTTCAAAGGAGACGATTCCTGATATCAGCTCCCCCACCCCCTCCCCCATCCCCCCCCCCTTTTTTTTTTTTTTTGGGGGGGAGACGTGTTGAATGGATGACTGTTCGAGAGTGAACCAGAAAGTTTAATCAGCATAAGCAGCCTACAGCGGCTACAAATATCTGGCCTTAATGTAACTGTTAAGATGACTTTTTCTAGTATCTGTTTATCTATTACGCTTTGCTGTCTCATCCTTCTACTTATTTGTATCTTATTTCATTATCTTTTGTCTGTGCCGTCTCCACGTGTACCACGTGGTGATGCCGCAATCTATTCTACGACGCGACTCTCGTACCACTGTCAGAAAATCTAGTTTCTTCGGATGAAATATACTGGCTAAGATGTATTATATTTGTGTCAAATTTGATGGTTTTAATAGTTTTCGTTCCAAAACTACGCGTCTCACCGATCATGTCGCACTGTCCATCTCTGCATGTCTGGGTCCTTTATTGTAGTCCACCGTGTTGTCCGAACTTCACGAAAACGGGCTTTTAGTTTAACCGTCACCCGCAAGGAACGAGTCCTAGTACCGGTGGATCTTGAAATCGTTAACCACATTAATTAAACTCTAAGCCACGGACCCGCACATTGTGTGTATCACGAATAGTATTGTACTAGAAGTAACAAGAAAATAAAAGGAAAAAGCTCGTTAGGCGGGGACTAGAAACATAAATATTCTAGCCCAAACATGAGATTCTTTGTGTAAAATCTAATCAGCAGTACAATAAACTAGACCACACTAACCGCAAGTCCCAATCTGAATAAAAACAACTGGAACTATTATTACCACATTCACTATCTGTTTATTTCACTGAACATATGACAATACTAAGCGCTGTTTACAGATAATACATTAGCAAAAAACGACGTGCCAAGCACTTCATTAATAAAAGAAATATCTCACAGCGATGATACACACTGATATATATCTATACAGTATAACTACTAGTGACAAATTCAGAGCTAACTATAGAAAACTTACCACCATTATTATCGTCATTTGGAAGCCAAAATGAGACGGTTTTTCCCTGCCTGGTCCTTTTTATGCACAGTGGCCAGATATTTTTCACAAGTGAACTCAAACCAAGTCAAGGTATCCATCGTACAAACTAAAATCAAGTTGAATTCGTCATAGCCCGCTTACATTACCATAATACTTACTCTGGGTTATCGCAGAGCCGCACCCTTTGCCGTATACCCACTCCACACTCCGAGCTACACTGGGTCCACTGACTCCACTCTCCCCAGCTCCCGTCCACTGGCTTCATGTTGCCTATATACTGGCAGACTTCGTTGCGGCATTCCTGTGTGTAGGTAGATAAAAGCAAGAAATACTTGTAGAAATGCTTAAGTGGGTGTAACAATACAATCGCAAATACAATGGTATAAATAATAACATATAACTTATTTATTGATTTCGATGTCTTTGTTGTCTAATATACTCTCTACATATACTTCTTTAAATAAACTCTTTTTTTTTTCATACTGCCTCTTAAGCCTCAAGGTTTCCTCAGCTGTTTATTAATCATATTCTATATTTAATAATCAAACTATTTAAACTGGTGCCTTGTGTGATTAATAGTGTGTGCAACTGCTCATCTGTTTTATCTGCTGCTTTCATCGATGATGTACTGCATTTCTAGTGTTGAACTGTTTGTGTTACCATCTCTGAATGCTGCTTTATGCATTTCACGCGTATGCATGCTATTGGATATGCTGAGATTGCAGTTTGCGTCAAATGTTCACAAGGAACAGTGATGTACATTCTGCGTGACTTTCGTTAGCACAGGAGCGGAGTAACTATAGGGTGACCCCTTTGCTATGAAGCTAAAACTGTGACTACCTGATTAACTGATTATTACCCATATTTTAATAGATCAGTGGGTGTGGTGCTCAACATCACGCTGGTCACCTTTATTTCCCAGATACTGCATTTCAGCCATGATAGATCGACCATGTTAGGTTAGGTCGACCTGAAAGCCAAGGTTAACTTTAAAACGTATTATGTTAGGTTATGGCCATTGAGTTAGCCGTATGTGTCGATTCCTCCCCACCAAATATTTGGTTGACACGTTCCGTTTCTGGGGACAGCTTTTATCGAGTTTGCTCTTTAGACAGTTGCAGTCCCCTGCTGACGAGATTCTGTCTTCTCAAGTGGGTCGTCGCGATCAAAACATTGCGAAGGCAGCTTGGTCGAGGCTGCCAAAACTGTCGGTCATTATCCCACCCCGACATAGCACAACCACAATACACGCAGCTCCCACGAAAAACACATAGTATCCTGCGCTGGAAACGCGCAAAAAATAGCAGTTCATGATTATGGAATGATAACAGAAAAATTGACAGCCAGCGAAAATAAACACAGCTGCTATCCGCCATTTTGAAAACGGAAGTCATGTTATGTTATAAAAATCGACGTATTTGCACGTTCGGCATCCCCATGCGTGCTCAGTTCTCTGATGCAGAAGTTACTCGAAGATACCTCTACTAATTTTTCCCATTAAAAGTTGATTATACTATCTCCTGTCTTTACCTCGAAGACGGCATAGACGTGCTTCAACAAGCTTAACTCCTCCCTTCGGGCCAGTAGGCCAACGACTAACCACTACGCCCTCTCGGCTTCCCTTATTTTGTTAACAATTGCCTCACAATTACATCGACGTTTTCCTCATCTTTGTCTGTCTTAATATCTAAATGCCTGTCTGTCTAAATGTCTGTCTTAATGTCAGTCTATCTCTGTGTGTGTCTGTCTGACTCTGCCCATTTGTCGGTCTGTTGTCTGTTTGCTGTCCGTCTCTGCCCATCTAAGTGTTGTCTGTTTGTTATCTGTCTGTTGCCTGTCTGTCTGTTATAACATACTATGTCTTTAGATGGAATCAAATTTTGATGTGAGAGACGAATGCCTGAAAGGGCCGAACGTAGCACGAGCTTGCGCGCCCTGTTTGCCTTCTTCTTATGCCTTTCAATCCCCCAATGGAGCATAGGCCCTCAACCAACTCACGCCAAGTCGTTCTATCCTTCGCCATCTCCCCATGTCCTGCCAATCTTTCTAACTTCATTCTTCAGCTCTCTTCTCCATGTGTTTTTTTTTTTTTTTTTGGGCCCTCCTTTATTCCTATGCCCCTGTGGGTTCCAATGCAAAGACATTCTAGTTATGCTGTTCTCCTGTTTTCTCAGTGTGTATCCTATCTAACGCCAGGGTCTTTTCCTCACCTTTTGGTCCACTGGCGCCTGTTTAGTTCTCCCCCAAAGCTCTACATTAGTTATTCTATCATACCATTTAATTCCTTCTATTCTGCGCAGGCACCAGTTAATGAATGTTTGTAGTTTATTAGTACTTGCCTTAGATGTTCTCGATGTTTCCGCCCTATACAAAAATACTGATTTGACATTAGAATTAAAAATTTTTAGTTAAGTATTTCTTTTAATTTTCTTTTTACCTCCACAAAGTCCCTAGTGCTATGAATGCTGCCCAGTTTGTAGCCAGTCAAAAAAATAAAGTTTGGTCGTTCGTTCTTCTGTTTGTGTGTATCTCTATCTGTTTGCCTATCCGACTGCCTCTGCGCCCCCCCCCCCCCCCCTCTTACTTCTCTCTCTCTCGTATTTCTTTCGTGTCAGTACTTTCACTGAAGATCTATCATTAATATATCTATCTGAAAAAATCTTTGTTCGAACTCGACTTTTTTCATACGCTTGTTTATTTCTGTGGTTATTGACACGGATAAGTAAAGAAGCAAATACAACAACACTCTTCCGTCACTGTATGTCTTCTGTGAGGAGCCAAGCTGGCAAACATCAGGCTGAACAATGCCAAAATCTGATAGCTGTTTTGAAGCTGATCCCTTAATAATGAAAACAATAATATGAAAGTCAACGAAACAAATACATACATAAAGAAGTGCTACTTTTTCGGTGGATAAAAGAACAAATGCTAAAATTACTCTCTTCTGTCTACCAATAGGTCATTACGGAATGGGAAGAATGGCGCTGTGGGGAAGTTACCAGTGGATTCGATCGACGGATATACAATTACTGGAAATTGGAACTTTGCGCTTGCTGCTGAAGATGGGGACGAAGCGCTTATATGAGTGTCCCTAGTGCTGTGATGTCGATTCTTACTTTAACATTCAACATATCCTCTATCTGTAAGCGGATCATACATACATCATTAACTAACGCACGTTTTGTAGTATGATAAATAAGTGTATTATGTACTGATTGACTCTCATAGATACACAGCAGAAAAAAAAAGACGAGCTAGGACAACACACACACATCGAATGCTATTGTTAGCGTACTGGGATCCGCCCCCAGAAGTAAACACAACTCGCAGAATGAACGCGTAGTTAGAGACATTTTCTTCAGATCCATGCTTAGACGGGTGAAGTGTTATTTTTCAAAGCACAATGGCAAGTATGTAAATTTTACCCCGCCATAACATCACACGAGCGATAAACACCAGGTGACACAAAGTGCCACCATGCGGATAAGGATCACCCTTAGATAGGTCACAAAAACCGCGTTCAACTGCCATATTGCGACCCCCAGCAAACACCAGGGAGGGTTTTGAAGAAAAAAAAAACGAAAAATTTCGTCCCACATGGGGATGAGTATATTGAACGAACGAAAGAACGAAAGAACTTTATTTTCAAAGGGTCACAAATTGGACACACAGGCCCGTCTTACATTCGGCCCTTCCAAACACCCGTCTTTCACACTGCAGCTGTATTTTATCCATAAACATATTATATTCATATAATAATATGCGTATTATAAACATCAAAAAAGAGAGGGGGGAAAAAAGACAAAGCACAAAAGAATGGGTGGTAAAATGCATGCACACACACACACACACACACACCCACCCACCCACCCACTCACTTAAACACACCCACATACCTTCACACACACATTAACACACCCCATTCACCCACACGATTAAGCACAATGGTATACGCAGGCTGAATCACATATAACCGGTATTATTCAAAATTTAGGGGTTACACAAATATCACAAGAAAGATCCCATACCTGGTCACTAGTGACTCGTGAATTTACTGAAATCACATTCATTTACTATGATTTACGTACCCGTTCAGCCCCACACTTGGACCCAGGCATAGGTGGACCTCGCTTGGTGCGGCAGAGATGGGGTTGCGAAGAATGACTGCACCATAAGGTCCCACAAGGGTCGTTATAAAACTGTGGGGAAGGCGTTGTTAGGTTATGCTATTACAATGGAAGTAACCGGACACTTTTAGCATTGACAATTCATGTTAATAAACTTGTTGGTACATTTAATTTTAGACGACCTCATCTCGTTTGCTTCGAGATTTTGTAGGAAAATCCCCAAAACGTTCTATTTTATAGAGGGAAAAGGGTAAGTAGTAGTCATTAATACAAGCCCTAACACCCCCCCCCCCCACCCCTCTCTCCCAGTATGGTACTGTTCATGGAAATCCCTAGGAATTCTATACGAAATCTCGAAGCCGACGAGACAGTGTCGTCTAAACTTAAAGTACCAACTTTTTGCAGTCTGCTGCTGTTGCTTCTTCTTCTTCTTCTTCTTCTTCTTCTTCTTCTTCTTCTTCTTCTTCTTCTTCTTCTTCTACTTCTTCTTCTTCTTCTTCTTCTTCTTCTTCTTCTTCTTCTTCTTCTTCTTCTTCTTCTTCTTCTTCTGCTTCTTCTTCTTCTTCTTCTTTCTCCTCCTCATCCTCTTCTTATTCATCCTCTTCCTCCTTCTGCCTTCTTCTTCTTCCTCTTCTTCTTCTTCTTCTTCTTCTTTTTCTTTTTTTTTCTTCTTCTTTTTCTTCATCCTCCTCTCCCTCCTCTTCCTTTTTATCTTCTTCCTCCTTCTGCCTTCTTCTTCTTGTTATTCGTCTTCTTCTTCTTCTTTTTTTTTATCTTCTTCTTCTTTTCCTCCTCCTCCTCTTCTTCTTCTTTTTCTTCTTCTTCTTCTTCTTCTTCTTCTTCTCCTTCTTCTGCTGCTGCTCCTTCTTCTTCTTCTTCTTTTTACTTCAGTTTAGAAAATTATATATTATTTATATATATATATATATCTTATATCTTATTATTATATATATATATATATCTTATTCTTCTTCTTATATATATATATATTTACCAGGAGGCGTCTACCCTTGTTGAAACCTATCATGTAATCCAAATCGTTCTGTGTACCAAACAGCTTGATTGAGAGTCGAACAAGCCAGATTGCTTCTCAGTCAGCAGCATACAGCTTGACTGAGAGAGGAACAAGCCAGATCGCTTCTCAGTCAGAAGCACACAGCTTGACTGAGAGAGGAACAAGCCAGATCGCTTCTCAGTCAGAAGCACACAGCTTGACTGAGAGAGGAACAAGCCAGATCGCTTCTCAGTCAAGCAGCTTACAACTGGCAGTGTTGGAGAATTTCCATGGGCCAAGTTTGAAAAACACATTTCTCTGTTTTCTTTAAACGTAAACCTGAAAATTCGCTGACAAAGTCTGAGTTGCTTTTGCAAGCAAATAATAAAGTATCTCTAAATTGTAATTAATAGTCATCGGGTGCTAACCGCTGACTCAGGCTTCATGGTGAGGTGAATAATGTTTGATATAATCTAGGTATCAGATATATTCTGTCAGATTTTTTTGTCTAATGTATCTTGTGGTTTTTTTTAAAGCTTCTGATCATCCTAATGACCGCCCCTGTGCCTTTCAGTTTTTATAGCCCCTAATTAGTGGATCAAATAGTTTAATTAATAAACGCATTAAATAAATAGTAAATTAGTCAAAACACATAAAGTGAAGTACCCTTTAAATAGTAAAAGGAAAAACAAAATGTATAAAATGAACGGTGCAGTATTTAAGGAATTAAAAATGTAACAATTCATGACACAGCAACACGTTACAGTTACATACCGCATTACAGAGTTTAAAAGGAGCTCCAAATTCCATTCTACACTGAAAGTCTAAAGTCCAGGGCTGTCCAAGCTTGTTTTCTAACTTCACAGGGGACTTCAGGGAGTAATGATTTGCTCGAGGTTTCGGTTCGTTATTTAGACAAAATAGGTAACTGTAAAAGAGATTGAATTTCGTTTTAGATACTTGGGAACTTACTTGGAAACTTACTTGGGAACTTACTTGGGCAAGCATTGCACTAAGGCATGTGGGAAGAAGCATGGAAAAATCAGATATCTTCAACGCTGTACGGACTGGGCTAGTGGATAATGAGGAATCCCTGACACTAATCGACTGCGTGACATGGGAGTGAAGCATGGTGAAGCACGTCTACGCCGTCTTCGAGGCCGAGATAGGAGAAATAAAACCAGCTTCTCATGAGAACAATTAGTAGAAGTACTGTGGAGTCGCTACTGCATCGGAGGACTGAGCACGCATAGGAATGCCCAATGTGCAGTGGCGTCGATTGTGATAACATAGAATTACATAACTTGGGTAAAGACTAAATGTTAAAGTAAACAATCAATAAGTAACTAAATCGTTTCCATGTTTCGAGACCTGCTGAGCTCATGGTGCTAATACTTGCTTACTTAGTGGATCCTCTTCTATCTGGGGTGTAGAGGTTTGCCAGAGAGTTGGCCAGACTTCTCTGTCGGCAGTTCTCTTTTTGGCTTGGCTTGATTCTAGTCCTCTGTTGATCTGGGACTGTGAGATGTCTTCGCAACGTACTCTGGGTCATCCTAGGGGTCTGGTTCCTTGGTTCTTGATCTCCCAGGGTGGATGTTTCTCTGTCATTCTGCCTACATGTCCAACCCATCGTAACTGACTGATCCACTTGAGTTTGTGAGGCCTGTGTTTCACGATTATGACGTATTATCCGTGTAGTGATGCTATAAAATAGGTATAACGTAAGGGGTTTGACTGGTTGACAGAAATTGAGGAAGTGCCTGGATTGGGAGACATTAAGTCGACGTGAGAGTGGCAAAACACCATATTGTGGGAGCTCACATGGAAGGAATTGCTGACTGGGAAGTCATTCTGTGATAGGACCCCAGAGAGATAGGAGCGAAAGTAGATTCAGAGTGAAACGAAGTGAACGCTGATCCTAAATGGCAAGGAGAGCAAGCTATGAAGTGGTTGTAGGAAAGCTACGCTGAAGTATAGCTGAGGGTAATGGAAGTGTCCTGCTGACTGCTGATTTTGCTAGCCGTGTGTATGTCAGCGTCGACACTGGCGTGGCTGTATACTCAAAGTGTGAACAAGTGAATCCTGCCTAGATGGCGTATGTGTTACGCTATAACTTAGATTCTTGTCGCTTGTGTGGTATTGCGATTGAACATGGAACTGTAGATAACACACCTCGACTGTCATTTGAAACGTGCTGAAGAGAGGTCTAACTTGTCAGTCTGACCCCTAACCCGTTGCGAGAGCTAGTTTAAAAAAAAGTTCATTGTAGGCTCGTCTTTCCTGAACGGTACTACATTAAACAGTACAACGGGAATTACAGTAAATCACAGACAAGTAAAGACAGAAGTGAATTTGTAGTGGACAAAATAACACTTCTGGATGTCAGTTGATGTCAGAACTGCCGTATGGTGGGATAGATTATGTATCACGGACAATGAAGGTCTAGCCACTTCAGCATAAGAGTCTTTTGAAAATCGCTTTATTGTCACTTTAGGCACTTTACCAACTAGAGTTTCATCTGAAATCCTCTAGTTACGGCCCCTGGAAATCTCAAGGACGTATTTATTCTCCTGTTCTAAGTGTCTCGTCAGTTTACTGATAAGACATCGATCTGGCTGCTTCGAAATACTAAGCTAAGTGATTTTGTGTATTTGTGTGGTATTGTCTAATTTATGTATGAGCTGACGAAAGCTTCATAGCCGCAACATTCGCGTTTTGTTTGTGTTTATTATATTGTGAAGCTTCCTGATATGCCTTTCGTTCAGTTTTATATCTTTCTTGAAATGCAAAGAGAACTGAACTGAAATAGGTTTTTTACTAAAAAAATAAACACAAAAATATGCAAGAGACCGCGTTCAAAATGTGGTTGGGAAAAGCACACTCACCGAACCATCTCTTTCATTCTTCTGCTACTGCACTCAGACCACCAGAAATGATTCAGTTTAGACTCTACCAGTGCCGCCATCATCGAGGTCTCATACTTTCGTCCAGTGCAGTCATTTCCGTGACCGTCATGGAAAAGTCCAAATCTGCATCATCCAGTTAGAAAGGAATAACAAATAACCAAAAAAAAAAATAAGGCAAGCAAAGCTCGTTTTTTTTTATTTTTTTCTAAATTATCGTGAGCTAGTGTTTTACTAACTAAAAGCTAACTAACTTAATAAATGATAGTGTGAGCCAGCAACAAAGAGTCCGCATTCTCTAAACCCCCCCCCCCCCCCCCCCCCCCCCCCCACCCCTCTTCTTAAAAAATAACTTGGGGTTAGTTTCACGTTAGTATCCCTGAATAGAGTCGGTCACTTTTCATTTACAAGTTGGTTGGGCTGATCGACTTTTCTGAAGGTTACGGCTGTGTCCCGCTCTGTTGTTTGGTTTCTGTGATGTCTTGCATTTACGTTTTTGTTCTGAGAAACAGAATGTCTGTGACATAGGTTGCAGCACTCTCTATGGGTGTTGTGTTAGAGCCAGTTGAGTGTTAAAAGTGCTGGCGTGCTGAAACCTTGTTCGAAGGTCACGGGGCTCAGGAATTACAAATCAGAAGCAAGTAGTGTGTATTTGGGCGGGGTCTGAGGGGACTAGTCTTACTTTGACCTAACTTAGAAACGCAGTTGTAAGGAGATAAGTGGTACCCCTTAATATGACTAAACGTTCTATTTCTAGGTGTGGGGCAGGGGGAGGGGAGGGTGAAGGTGTCTCCGTGGCAAAGTAGTCAAACCGTCCGCATCCCACTCTGGAGGTCGTAGGCTTGTTTCACAACTGCGCTCTTCATTTCACCAGTGCAATTTTTACAGAGATTCCTAGGAATCGTCACCGAAGCTGATGAGTTCGTGCTTTGTGCCTCGCTCTCTGCAGGCGACTAGCCGTTCTAGCCACACACGGGATAAAACCCGGTGCAATGAAATCGATCCTCTCGACTGTAACCTTTAACCTTTCTAAGGGTTTGTTGATACATTTCAAAATATTTCAAATAAATATCATTATATTTGGATGCGGATCGGAAGGTCGTGGGCTCGGGTCCTGAGCAAGACTTTCTTTCAAAAATTACCTTGGCTCCTAGGTCGACCCAGCCTTGAGTTGTACCAGGTGCGGTCCTGGGAAGTAAAGGCAGCCGGCGTGATGCTGATCACATCATCCACGAAAGAGCCGATAGGTCTACAAAATTTAGGATCTAACCCTTTATTTATGTCCAACATACCTAAAGGCGTGGGAAAGGGTCCTTTTCTGTACTTATATCATTAAATGTATTTGTAATCAGCACATTATCAACATCATCATCATTACTACACCCTAACACAAAGCTTAGGACCACGAGTTCTCCTCCACACAAAATATTGTGCAAGATGGTTGAGACCACTACGAAACCCCCGCCCCCCCCCACCCCACCCCACCTCCCCCCGGCCCTGTATTCTGTTTGTCGACGCCCCTGATGTGAGCTATTTATTGACTTACACGTGCGCCATCTCGTGAGCAATGATGAACCCGGTAGTAAACCCTTCATCCCTGACCGCGGCACAGCTGCGCGTGGGGTTGCACAGTCCGGTGATTGGAGCATAGCCTGGGACATAAAGACACAACTTACATTTGTCTACAGAATGACACCTACTTGTTTGTTTGTAAAGAGTCCCCTTTAACACCCATTAGGCACACTGATTATAAGGTGGTTCTTCTTCTTCTTCTTCTTCTTCTTCTTCTTCTTCTTCTTCTTCTTCTTCTTCTTCTTCTTCTTCTTCTTCTTCTTCTTCTTCTTCTTCTTCTTCTTCTTCTTCTTCTTCCTTTTCTTCTTTTTTCTTGAAAGTGTCGAATGTAAGACGGGCCCGCGTGCTCAATTTGTGGCCCTTTGAGTTCGTTCACCCGTTCGCTCTTCTTCTTTTTCTTCTTTTTCCATTTACTCTTTTTCCTTCTCCTCTTTAGCATCATCATCGTCATCATCATCTTTCTTCTTCTTCTTCTTCTTCTTCTTCTTCTTCTTCTTCTTCTTCTTCTTCTTCTTCTTCTTCTTCTTCTTCTTTACGTGTTCTATCTCATATGCAGCATACGTTTTCAACTGACATCAGGCTGTGCCACACTTTGCTATCTCCTCCTAGCCCATAATGCCCACCCTATACAGTATTTAAATGCTTTTTTATATTCATATTACTTCCCCACCAATTTTTATCGTTTTTTTTTTAAACTAATTAATATTCCAAGTGCCAACTCTGTGAAGATTTCAGAACGTGAAAAATGGATTCCAGCAGTTGCACACTGCAGAGAAAAATAGAGGACGTATTTATGCTTTTTGAGATGAACTGTGTTTAAAAGTTTTTTTTTTTTTTAAAGATCAACCAGCTCCCGATTGATGTTGTGGGCGTCCTTTCCCTTATGGGACAGAAGGTAACCTCTACCCAGTGTAGCTGTTGCATGTGCCCTAATTGTAATATCTCTAGAGGTTGAACAGGATCTGCCTTGTTTGTCTACCGTCCAGAATCTTTTTTCTTTTGTCAATATCTGCTTATGCCGCTAGGTATCGTAGTTCATAAGGCGATCGGCAGCTGACCCAGGGCGCGCTCGGTCAATCGATATGCCGTGATGTTATGCAGTTCAAGATGTCAGTGACTCCTTTATTCCATATTCTTCTCAGTCTTCCACTGCCTTTTGATGATTCAATTTTCTAGTTGTACTCTCTTGCTGCTGGCATCGTTGGTTTCAATCTTATTAGATGGCCAAACTATTGATTTCATTCTTTGTTTCTCAATCAATTTGACGATAGGTGTTGTTCCAGCAGTTCTTGTGATCACGTCGTTTCTCACTTGATCTCTTCTGGTTTTCATTCAGCCATTCTTAAACATCTCATCTCACAGGTGGTTAGTTTTCTCTCGTGTTCTTTTTTCGATGTTAAAGTCTGATACTGGTAACCTAAGTCTGTGTAAATATTGTATTTATAATTTGTCTTTTTGTCTTTTCTGGGATAGCATGGTTTTTTTAAACTGGAGCAAGTTGATATGTGACATTGTTGGCTTGTTGGATTATCGTTTCTATC